CTACTTTATTTTTTTAAAAAAGAATGTTTCTTTTGTAATTTTAGAAAGTTATGTATTTTTGAAAGTCAGTAGTATATGTTTTGTCCTAGAAAAATGAAAAACAAATAAACAAACAAAAAACCTGCCCCTGCCACCTTCAGAGGTTTGCTATAGGAATAAAATAGGATGATATATGTGCAATAGCATTTGAGACCTGCAAAGCACCTTATGAAATGGTTGGTGGTCATTATTACTGCGGCAAGATGTTTGGTGGGTATGAAGGGTGGTAGTGTGGGGGAGGGGAGCATTCTTTATTGTTTCTGCTAAAACACTATTTTTACATCACTACAGATAATTTTTGAGCTCACTGAAGCATTCTGAGTATTGCCTAAAAGTGCTTTCTCTACAATGCAATTTGGCATCAAAGACTAATGGATTTGATGTGATAATTTACAGGCAATTTTCTTACCAATTATTTTCAAGCAATGAGGTAAATTCCAAAGACTTATGTCAGGAAAGCATCCTGGAGTGTCTCAATCCTCTTCCCCAGTTTAATAACCATTGCAAGCAATTTCTATGTCTACTGTCCAGATGTGGCTGCTGACTCAAGCCCTTTGATATTCTGATTTTTCTTTTCCTATTGCTCTGAGGCTTTAACCCTGTGTGGGAAGAAACTCTGACATTTACAGTACACATGCCAGAAATAGCTTTGGTTCGCTTCCTTGTGTGGGATCATGATCCCATTGGACGAGACTTTGTTGGACAAAGAACTGTGACCTTCAGCAGCTTAGTGCCTGGTAGGTATGGGATGGCTTTTCTCTCTAAACTGACTGTTCCTTTTTCTATGGAAGATATAACATATATGTGTTAGATTGCATATATGATACATAAAGTATGTATTAGGACATGATGGGCCTTGAGACCAGAAGAACTAGATGGTGCCCAGCTACCAATGCCAACCACTCAGGAAGGGATCAGCACTGGAGATCCTGGATAGAGTGGGGGGAAAACATGGAACAAAATTAAAAAAACACAATAATGATCAGAATTACTGGTCGGATAGAGTCTGGTGGGACCCCTAATACTATGGCCCTGGGATACACTTTGGGCCTAGAATAAAACTCACTCCCCAGGGCTGGCTCTCAGCCCAATAGTAAACAAGATGTACACGCAGACCACTCAACCCAGGGTGATGCACCCCTTGGAGCAATTGACCATGGAGCACCAGAGGGGTAACATTCCTGCGGAGGAAATGCAGGACACACAGGAGTGCATAACAATGAGGGGCACAGGGTGGGGGTGGGGGTCGGTTACTCAGAAAGGAGAGGAGGAGGCTGCGTTGGGGTTGGGGATGGTAATTGGGGAGTGAAACCAAATGTACACGAAATGTTGTAAAACAAACTCTGCTCTGTAAATTTGCACCTAAAGCACAATTAAAAAAAACAAAATTATATATATATATATAATAGTAAAACCTGTGAGAGCCAGAGCTTGATGGCATTGCATTGTTTTTCCAAGTCTAGCAAGTTTTCTGCCTTTCTGTCACTCATTTTAGTGGGAAATATTTGTTTTCATTCTGTGACAGGTTTCCACCTAACACAAATTCTGGCTTTCACAGGTTTTACTATATATAATAACATGAGTATTGATGTGCTTTGTAAAATGTAAAGAACAATAGTAAAGTCAGATATTAATTCTTATGCACCATGGAAAAACCAATTGCAAGTTCAACTAAAAGGAAACTACTTTCTCTTATCAGGCTACCGACATGTCTATTTGGAAGGACTGACAGAAGCATCTATATTTGTCCACATAACAATCAATGAAATCTATGGGAAGGTAAGAAAGATCATTGGGCTTGAAATCACATACAACAATAATAAAGTCCTCAACAAACGTGTTTTGTTGACTGAGTGCATAAAAATGATGTACATTTTGGCAAACTGTTCTCTAACAGAAAGGTGTATGGAAGGAAGCCTTGTACATCCAGTCTGTTGCCCTGCTGTCAGGCCCTGGGGCACATGGACTTTGCCACTGTTCAGGGGTATGCACTTGTTCCTTCTACCTGGAGGCCCTATCTGCACTTTATAGGATGGAGGAAATGATTTAACCTCTCAGGCAATCATTTCTTTGCCTAAAACAATAAAGATATGTTTGATGTTGAGTTTTACTCCTTAAAAAGCAATGGTTGGCTACAGTAGAATATTTAGTGTATCAGATGTTTGATAACTTCACTAACTGGGCTGCAATCCCAGCCTGTTCTAGGCAGGATGTATTCATTTGATGCCACTGTTTTTAACTGAATCCTAAAATTTGTGAATGAATTTAAAGTCCTTAGAGGACTTGCAAAGCAACCTTGAAAGTGTGATGGTTAAGTACTTGGCTGCTAACCAAAAGTTTGGCAGTTTGAACCTACCAGCCGCTTCATGGGAGAAAGGTGTGGCATTCTGCTTCCATAAAGATTATAGCCTAGGAAGCCTATAGAGCAGTTCTACTGTGTCCTACTGGGTTGCTATGAATTGGAATTGACTTGATGGCAACAGGCTGGCAACAGGTATGAGTGGGAATGGACTCCATGGTGCACAACAACATAGGGTTTACGAGAAGAGGGCCACAAAAATGTATTCTAGTTATCTCCTGATGCTGCTTTCTTCATTGTAGAGCTCACTTGAGGTTTACAAATTAGTAGCTGTCTTCTAGTCATGCCAAGGAATTAGGGAGTTGGCTGCTGGACTGAATTTTCTGGATTTGCCAGGGCTGAAAAGAGCCCAGGATTTTTCTTTCCCAGAGAGTCTGATAGCTGAGAGCTTCTCCTCCAGAGGTATAGACACGCTCTGCTCTGACTTCCTCATCTGTAACCAGTGCCTGTCAGGTCAATTCTAACTCCTGGATACTCCATGTGTATGAGGGTAGAACCATAGCCCACAGGGTTTACATTGGCTGATTTTTTTTTTTTTTAATAAATCACTAGGCTTTTCTTCTGAGGTGCCACTCAATGAACTCAAACCTCCAATCTTTCTGTTAGCAGCCAAGCACTTTAATCATTTGTACCACCCAGGGACTCTTCCTCATCTACAAATATGGGGTAAAAAGAGTAGACACCTTATAATTAAGTAAATACATATATTATGATAGAAAGCTACCTGGCAGATAGTAAATACTCAAAAATGTTGGCTAATATTATTGTTAATCAAACCCACTGCCATCAAGTCAATACCAACTCAATGCGATCCCAGAGGACAGGGTAGAACTGCCCTATAGGGCTTTCAGTCTGCAAATCTTTATGAAAGCAGAGTGCCTCATCTTTCTTCCATAGAGTAGCTGGTGGGTTTGAACTGCTGATCTTTTGGTTAGTAGCCGAATGCCTTAACCACCACATCACCAGAGCTCCTAATATTACTATAACCTAATTGATAGGAATGGGACCAATTCAGCCTCAGCTTGGAGACACACATTTATCCTTACCTCAGTCAGCAGAGAGGCCTAATGAATTTTCATTTCTAAGAGTGGGGAAGTTTTAGCATGACTTTCTGTGTTTAGTCTTCAGATTCTGTTCGTGCTACTCGTTGAGATCGTTCCTCTGGCCTAAATATACAGGATTGTAAATAATTCCTTGAGTTTCTAGAACTCCTGGGTTAACTATGTAGTATCTCTAACATTTATCATAGTCGAGGAGAATGATAAAATTCAGAATTTGTTTAAAATTTGGACCAGAAAAAAATTACGCAAAAGAAAGTGTTCTATAGGGCTTCTCTCTTTTAAATAAATAAATGCCCATTTGTAAGTCACATTAATTATTATTTTTAAGGTGTATTTGGGTTGTAATGTGTATACCACAATATGGTGGTGTTGAGTGGAGCAATGAATGAACATAAGACTGAAAGTCACCAAACCTGAGAAAAAGAGTTTAGAGAAGTATTTGCATTTTTTGTTTTTGTTTTTCTTGTGCCACCTTCTTGAATGAGCCCAAATCATTTTGCTGTGTTTTTGTTTTTTCCTTACAGTGGAGCCCTCTAATACTCAACCCCAGTTATACTATATTGCACTTTCTAGGAGCTACAAAGGTAGTTTCTCAGCATGATATTTTGTTCTTGCTGGCACATTTAAAAAAATGGTTATGGTAGCATGCTTTCTCATATCACTCCATTTTCCTGCTTACCTCTGAAATATGCTTCTGTTGCTTTAAGGTGGCAATGTTTTGTAGCACTCCATTTGCTATGGAAAATTTCCTACCACCTTCTCACATCTGGGTAGGAAACTTCTGAGAAAGCTTGGTTGTGATAATAGAAGGCTGCTTTCCTCACAAAGTAAAGTTAATAAGATGTGCATGACATTGTGCAAACATGCTGTGAGCTGCTGTTTTCTTGATTTAAATGACTCGGTGGCTGTACAATTTTGTTTTGGATTCGTTTTTCATGGAGTTGTCATTTAGAACAGAAGTTGTCACAGTGTCATTTGTTTAACTTGTGCTTGGTTTATTTGTGTGTGTGTCTGTGTGTCTTCAGAACAGACAACTCCAAGGTCTGAAGGGACTGTTCAATAAGAATCCCAGGCACAGTTCAGAAAACAATTCCCATTATGTCCGGAAACGATCAATTGGAGATAGAATTCTGCGACGCACAGCCAGTGCCCCAGCCAAAGGCAGAAAAAAGAGCAAGATGGGCTTCCAAGAAATGGTAGAGATAAAGGATTCTGTGTCTGAGGCCGTAAGAGATCAAGACGGAGTCTTGAGGAGAACCACACGGAGTCTGCAAGTACGCCCTGTCTCTATGCCTGTTGACAGAAATCTTCTGGGAGCATTGTCACTGCCTCTATCTGAAACAGCAAAAGACATTGAAGGAAAAGAAAATTCTCTGGGTAAGATGCTTTAAATTTTTCTAAGAATAAATTAACTTTTCTAGGCTGCATGTAAGTCCCTGATTAGCATTATAGTATGGTTGACATTTTACAGTCAAAATAAAATACACGGAAAAATCATTTTTAATATTATTTTCAGGACCTCAAATTTACAAACATCAGGATGGGGGGGGCAGTAGAAGAGCTATTTCCTGAGTATGTAAGGCCATAAGATAGCTCTAACATCTGAAATTAACAGTGAGGGATCAGGGAGGCCATCAGGTGTGGTGGTGCTGAGCTTATAAAGTCTATGAAGCAGGAAAGGGGAAGGTGACACTTGCAAAACATGAATAGAGATCTTAGTTTTCCAAGTAAGGACCATATATATAAATTGTTCGGAGGTTGAATATAGTTGTATTTTTTCTTCCATGATTGGGAATGTTTGTGGAAGAGAAAGAAAGGTCCAGAGGTGAAAAGTAAGTCACCTTCTTCACTTGGAAAATCCTTGCTTCTTCAAGAGGCAGTCTGGGGGATGATGTTCTGGGGTCATACTTACCTCATGCATGGATGCTTGCAGGGAAGGAGGCATGTATGTGGCTCCTCCCCAGATGTAGCCTCCACAGTCATAGAGACCATGCTTTATCCATCCATTTGCCCAGGATGAGCATAATACTCATCTCATACAAGGAACTTGATAAAGAGTGGTGACTACTTTATAATGAACCAAAGAAAGCCCTTATAAACTTTCAGCTTTCTAGGTAATAAGCACCAGAACCTGTGTCCATTTGATATCTCTGTAACAAAAATGTTTCAATCAGATCAGAATCATCTTAAGTAGAATGTGGTATTTGTTTCCTTTAGCAAAATTATTTTCTTTTAGCAAAATTCTTCTATCAGACAGTCTAATTTCAATGATCTATTTACTCACAAATACCATTTGTTGTTGTTGTTGTTATGTGCCATTGAGTTGGACCCAACTCATAGCAACCCCTCCTTGGGTTTCCAAGGCAGTATCACTACTTGTATTTAATTTTGTTCTGAGATATTCTAGTGAAAAAAGCCAATTCATGAATAGTTTGTTTGGAGAAGCAGAAGGGTTTTTAAAAGTTTGAAATTTTGCTGAGAGCAATGTGAGAGAGAAAGGAAATATATGCTTTAAAATTTGTTTTACAACCTCCATCTTTGGGGAAAATAAAGCTACATTTGATAGAAACTGTATTAATACCACAGCTAAGAAATTAATGTCATTAATCTGAGTTTGAAAGCATTAGTGAGGTAGTGTTTCTTTCTCTCCCTTTTTGCGGCAGTTACATAAATTAGCTTATATCAAACTTATAGTAAATATAGAACAATATATAGCCATTTAAGAATTCAAATACTATTATAGAAAAAAAACAAACAAACAGGTTTTTCTTCAATATTAAGTAGAGAAAAGCACAACATAGTTTTGTTCCTCTGTCAAAGTTTGCAGTGGCTGCCTCTGAATGATAAGAATCATAAGATACTTAATTTTTTTCTTTGTAGTTACTTGTATTTTCCAAATTTTTCTATAGTAAACTTTTTTTTTTTAGTTAGAACATTTAATAAGAAATTAAAAATTATTTTCTGTGCATATCATTAGTGGGAAAGCACTAAGAGACTATTAAGGAATAATCTGATTAAGAATAATTGAATACCAAAGATTGTCTTAGCGCTATACTAAACATGATAGGAGTACCCCAAATTACTGTGAATTGTGTGCTTTTAGTTTCCTTACTATGCCTGATAGTTTACTGACACTTAGAGGTGAATACATATGATATTTATATGTTTAAAAGCAAAAAATTATTATAAAAATTGATAATCGTAGAATTGGTGACTAATCCTTTATCTTTACATTTTTAAGTCAACAGATGTTTATATTTTAATGCACTTATTAGACCTTCTATTTGTTTTAGAAATTAATTGGTTGAGTTAGAACTTTGTTCAAAACATCTTTAAAAATGACCATAATTTTGATTTTGGTTAAAATGTGTATAACTTTGAAAGCTTACAGTTTCTTATTTGCAGGCATCACAATGCTTTTTTTTTTAACAGAGCTGTCTTGTTGTTTTTATTGCCATGCTTCTGTGTAGTACAAATCTGAATAGGAAACATCCTAAGGTAATCCTCACTGTAAAAGTATGGTAACTCATTGACATTTTTTTTTTTTTTTTTGGACAATGAATATTACATCCTCAGCTGATGTAATAGATATCAAAGGGAAGCTTCAGTGAAATTCCTATGAATATATTTTACCATTTATTCATCATATGAATACATTGTTGCAAACCTCTGCAATCCATAATTATATTCTGTCACAGTATAACAGATTTACATTCTCCATTTGTCTGTCTGGAGATAAACTTGAGTGTTTACAGGTCGTACACAAAGTGATACATATCACCTAAACTGTTGCTTGTTTTATTCAGCAGAAGATAAGGATGGGGGAAGAAAAGGGAAGGCAAGTATAAAAGACCAACATTTTCAGAACTTCAACAAAAAGTTGTCCTCCTCCTCCAGTGCTCTCCTCCACAAAGACAACAGCCAAGGCAGCTCCACCATTTCTACTACCAACGTTTCTACTACGAATGTGTCAATTACAGGAGAACAATTGGGAGTGTCAGGTCCTAAGGGTGAGAGAACCAAATCAAATGTGACAAATGATTGCCAGGAAAACCATTGTGCCAACAAGTCCCTCTCCCCAAAGAAGCATTTGGATCTTGATCCTACAGTTAACCTAACACAAGATCTACGTGGTATGAAAACCAAGGAAAATGGGAATGCTGAGGGCTTTGTGGAAGGGAAAAGCATATTGTCAGGAAGCATCCTTTCTCAAAGCACCCTAGAGATGAAGAATCTGGAAGATAATAAGGGAAAGAGCAGAACTGCAACATCTTTTTCTTTGTCAGACATCTCCACGCTTCATGCTGACGTATCTGACTTACATTCAACGGCAATTCTACAGGAGAGTGGGATCTCCCAACTTATTGAAAATGTCACTTTAACAAATGAGAATGAGCCAGGCAGTTCCATCTCAGCACTGATTGGCCAGTTTGATGAGATCAGTGATCAAGCTACCCTCACAGTTGCTTCTCATCTTCATAGTACCAGTGTGATGTCAAGCCATCCTCCTTTGCCAACCATTGGTCTAAAACTGCCCATCAATCATGGCTTTTCCAAAGGAAAGCCCAAGTCATCCTTCCCATGCCCATCTCCTGAGCCTATTGCATTCTCGAGTCCCGAGACCACAAAACATGTAACATACACAGTCCTTCACGAAACCACCTGCACTCCCGTCTCTAAAACCAAACTAGATGATGAGTTTTCTGGTAACACTAAGACAAGGCCTACAGAAGGCAATCTGCCTGGGCCCTCTCATACTTCTTGCTGGTTACTGACAAGTCCCAATAAGGGAAAAGACTGGAAAGTACTAAAGAACTGCAGCCCTACCATGTCCACTGATTTGATACTGGAGGACATCATAGCTGATCCCACTCTCTGTCTGGACTCTGCAGAGAGTAGTCTGGTGGAAATCGATGGAGAGTCAGAAAATCTCTCGATAATGACCTATGACTGTAGGAGAGGGGCCACAAGCCAACTTGCTTCTCCTTTAAAGCTGAAGCATAGCCAGGAGGTGGTGGAACATTTTCAAAGTGGTTTGAGAAATGGCTACTGTAAAGACACTCTCCCCTCTTCTGTCCCTCAAGTATTCAACAATATTCAAGATGTGAAATATCAAAGTTCTTCTTGTCTAGCCTATCAGGGTGCTGGATTTGTGCATAACTTCTTCTCAGATCCAGATGCAAAAATGAGCCTGACCTGTGTGCCCTTGCAGTCTAATGCTCAAGACATGCATGCTCCTGCACCCAAGCCCTCCACACATCTTCCTCTGCCTGCTCTGAAACTGCCCAGTCCTTGCAAATCTAAAAGTCTGGGGGACTTAACATCAGAGGACATTGCCTGCAATTTTGAAAGCAAGTACCAATGTATTAGTAAGAGTTTTGTTACAACTGGCACAAGAGACAGGAAGGGAATGCCTGTGAAAACAAAGCCAGTGGAGCCTACAGATGCTTTGACCGAGCAGCTGAGGAAGCTTGTGTCCTTTGACCAGGAAGAAAGCTGCCAAGTGCTATATTCAAAGCAAGAGGTGAATCAACTCCCCAGGGCACTGGTCAGAAAGTTGTCATCCAGAAGTCAGAGCAGGGTGCGTAATATTGCCAGTCGTGCCAAGGAAAAACAGGAAGCCAACAAGCAAAAGGTTGTGAACCCCAGCGATTTTGGAGGAGTGGTTCTTAGAAACAAACCCTCAGCGCCCCCATCCACTGTGAATCGACACTCCACGGGTTCATACATCGCAGGCTTCCTGAGTAACCGGAAAGGCAGTGGGCTAGAAGGCCGCGGCATCCCGGAGGGGGCTTGCACAGCCCTGAGCTACGGCTACGTAGACCAGTTTTGTTCAGATAATTCTGTTTTGCAGACTGAGCCAAGCAGTGATGACAAACCAGAAATTTATTTTCTCTTGAGACTATAAATAATATAAAGCTGCATCTTCAATGTTTACGAGGTAGTCTATAGAATAGATTTCCCTTTTCAGTAAATGTGGTCCTTGACGTTGAGATGATTTTAAAATGTATTTTTAAAATTGTATTTGTTCTCTCTTTGACTTCATGTGTTCTTCCTGGCTCTGCGTTTGTACATAGATTCTGTGACATTTCCCAATTGTGTATGACCTTCCCCCGCCCTGAGGTGTTGTAAGCTGTGTTGGTATGAAACATGTGCATGCTCTAGACGTGAGAGTTCTCAGCAGTTTGGGTTCCAACGGACATATGTTTCGCCAAGATGCTCTTTCTTATATGTCCTCAGATCACAGTCACAAATGCAGTCATTTTTAACTCTCTGTTGAGTTAATTAAGAAACTTTGCAAAGGGCAAAGGGATGAATTCTTTATTTTAAAGCCATTACCATTTTCCCCCCTTTGTTTAGAAGCCCAGATGCATTTTAATAACTCAGATGTCTAACACAGTTATCATGCCTTTTAAGATTTCTTCACCCTGCCCAGGGTGAGAGAGTTCAAGAGCAATTGGAAGCTGCTTTGTTCCCCTCTATTTTAGAGTAGGCTGTGAGGGCATGAAAGAAGAAAACAAACTTCTGTATATAATGACAAAATTATTTGTTTTACATAAATTTTGTTACATATTTTTGCTAATGGCTTTGTATGTAACAAGAACACAGATGCCATGGTATTTGCTGTACTTTTGAATTTTCTGATCAAATTATAGACTGCAAATAATGGCTTTACAGCGTAAGAGACTTCCGTCAGACTCTAACAGTAATGGTAGCACAATTTGGACACTTCCCTAAAGCTTTCAAGAAAAAAAGATATATTTTCTCATAATAAAATCCAAATGAACAGATAATTAGAAGAAACCTCTTCCCTTCACGGAGCCAAGCTAACTATATTTTAGTACCAACATGCATTATTTTTCACTGTGAATCCATTTTTTTATTGCATGTTCAGATGTCCTTCTTTGCTTTTTTGTAACACTAACTGCAATGATGTTCTTCTTGGAATTCATGAAAATATAATTAAAGCAGATTTTTAAATACTTGGTGATTTTGTTTTTTTGTAGTTGAAACTCATGTGATGACTGTTTAATAAAGGACCCAAATCACTTGGAGATCTTTTCATCAGTTTGCAGCAGAAGGGAGAACTTCTACTACTGGGGACAGTTTTAAGCAGCAATTTATGTCTGAGTGTTTTCATTATGCTTTAAAGAGCACATTGTAAGGTGACTTGAACAGAAATCAAATATGAGTTTCTTCACATTTAGAGTTGATGTTGCTAGTTTAAAAATAATCCTTCCCCAGTGGTCTAGATGACCGTGGTGGGGGACATAGTGGGGAAGGCAGACGAGATGCTGCATGTGGTAAGTTAGACTGTCTGAAGCTTTGTGATGTAGGAGAAGACATGTGGGGGGAGGTTCCCTCAGTCTCCAACTCTGATTTTCCACAAGGCTCAGAGTCGTCTTCTTTTCTAGTAGTCACGAGGAGACTGATTGGGGTAGAGTAGTGATAAAGGGAGAGGAATCAATTTCCATCCCCTTAATGAGTAGAGAAAGAGCACTGTGGCTCATTGGTTAAGCACTCAGTGGCTAAGCAAAAGGTTGGAGCTTTCTAACCTACCCAGTTGTTCTGTAGGAGAAAAGACCTGACAATCTGCACTTACAAAGATCACAGCCAACAAAACCCTATAGGCAGTTCCATTCTGTCACATGGGGTCACTATGATTTGCAATCAACTTGAGGGTACCCAACAACAGTGAGTAGAGACATTTTTTGTGTAATCAAGGTCCTGAATCCTCTAAGTTTTACCCTTAGACCCTTTTTTGTTTTTAAAGTAGCCTATGCTTTTTTTTTTGCAATGTTCCCTGCCATCCCCTCCCACCAGAGAGTTTCCCTCCATATATAAACCTTTCCTTGACCCTCCGCAACAACAAACTAATACTATATTTGTCCTTCTGTGATTGACTTATTTCACTCAGCACAATGTCCTCCAAGTTCATCCATATTATGCAGTGTTTTACAGACTTTACATTATTCTTTAGTGCTGCGTAGCATTCCATTATGTGTATGTACCATAGTTTGGTCATCCACTCTTCTGCTGATGGGCATGTAGGTTGTTTCCATCTTTTTGCTATTGTAAATTAGTGCTGCGATGAACATGAGTGTGCATGTATCTGTTCCTGTCCTGGCTCTCACCTCTCTAGGATATATACCTAGTAATGGGATGTTGGGTCAAATGGTATCTCCAATTCCAGATTTCTAAGGAATTGCTTTCCACAGTGATTGTATCACTTCACAGTCCCACCAGCAGTGTGTGAGAGTCCCAATCTCTCCACATCCCCACCAGCATTTGTTATTATCTGTCTCATTGAACCTTGCCATCAGTGCTGGGGTGAGATGGTTTCTCATTGTTGTTTTGATTTGCATCTCTCTGATGGCCAATGATCGTGAGCATCTCTTCATGTATTAGCTGGCCACCTGAATATCCTCCTTGCTGAAGTGTCTATTCATGTCTTCTGCCCATTTTTCAATTGGATTGTTAATTCCTTTGCTGTTGAGGCATTGGAGGTTTCTATAAATCTTAGAGATAAGTCCCTTGCCAGATATGTAATTATCGGCAAATATGAATTTGTTGGGAGCTCTGGAAGCATAGTGCCTAAGGCACTTGACTACTAACCAGAAGGCTGGCAGTTCAAACCCACCAGCCACTCCTCGGAAAGAAGATGGGGCAATCTACTTCCATAGTGATACTGCCTCGGAAACCCAAGGAGGGGCCGCTATGAGTCGGGTCCAACTCAACGGCACATAACAACAACAACAATGAATTTGTTGCTGTCATTTTTGTTAGGTACTTTTTTTTGTGGTGTGAATTTCATTGTTCCATATGATTTTCTATGCTGAGCTTGTTTTGCTGATGAATTATGTTGTCACTTCCTTCATTGCTATTGTTTTAGTATTTGCTGTATGTTTATGCTGGTCCTCTTTTTTATTTTGATGTGAAGGTTTATCATTTTTCTTTGAGGTTACCCCATGATTTATAGTTTTCTTCCCAAGTTTAGAACAGTCCATTTTATCTTGTATTTGTCTTGACTTCTCTACCATCTAGAAGTTCTGTAATGACAGTTTTTTCCCTCTTTTTGGTTTGTAGTTGTCCTCATTTGTCAATTGAGGTCTCTGGTTCCCTATTTACAATTTTGTAGGCTTATTTACTTTGGATACTTCCATAGCTGGGTTGGTTTCTGGATTATATCATCATGTGTGTTAATGGTCAGTTGTTGTTGGCTGTTGTTTCTTCTCTGTCCAAAGGGCTCCCTTTAGCATCTCTTGTAAGTTTGGTCTGGTTTTAAAAAATTCCCTAAATATCTGCTTATCTGGAAATGTCTTAATTTCACCATCGTATTTGAGAACAGTTTTACTGGCTATATAATTCTTGGTTGGAAATTGTTATCTTTCAGGGTTTTGTATATACCATCCTGATGTCTTCTCACCTGCATGGTTTCTGCCAAGAAATCTGAGCTGAGTCTTATTGGTTGCCCCTTGTAGGTAACTTTTTGTTTTTCCCATGATGCTCTCATGATTCTGTCTTTGTCTTTGGTTTTGTGAGTTTGATGATGATATGTCTTGGTGTTTTTCTTTTGGAGTCTATCCTGTTTGGGGTTCATTGGACTTCCTGAATGGATATATTCTCATCTTTCATCATAAACTTCTTTTCCAACAACTCTTCAACAATTTTCTCTCTGGTTTTGTCTCTTCCTGTTTCGGAATTCTGGTTACACATAAGTTATTCCTTTTGATGGTATCCCACATGAACCTTAGGCTTTCTTCATTTTGTTTTGATCTTTTTTTTGATTGATCCCTTTCCAAATAAGTGTTCTGGCATTTACCTTCATTCTCACTAATTCTGTCTTCCATTGATTCGATTCTACTCCTTTGCCCATTCAATGTGTTATCCATTTCTGAAAATTTAGTATTAATCTTCTGGATTTCTATGTGTAGATTTTGTATCATTTCTAATTTTTCATTAATTTTGTCATTTTTTTTTCTTGTATTGTCTTTTGAAATTGTTGTAGGGTTCTCTCTGTGTTTTCCTCAATTTTGTCAGTGTTTTCCTTGATCTGCCTCTCAATTTGTTGAAGGTACCTAAATATAATTCTTTGGAATTCCTTATCAGAGAGTTCCATTACTGTGTCTTCCTCAGGGATGTGTTTTGGGTCTATATACTGGTGATTGTATGTTGGAGTGACTTGCCTATGATATTTGTTTTCTTTGCTTGTATATTATCTATGCAAGCAGGATACTGTACTGTGCTCTTCTGTTCACTAGCTGACAGCACTTATTCACTCACCACCTATCTCCTTTCCTGTTGTCAGCCTTTTGTTGGTCCCTTCCAACCTTGGCAAACATAGCCTATTCTTAGGTTCCTGGAATCCAAGTGAGAGTGTTATCACCTTAAAATCCAAAATGCTTGCCACTCATAAGGATTCAAAATGACTGTGCCCTCGGTCACTTTCAATATCCAGAATGGCTGATGCTTGTAAACAATCAAAATGTCTACACTCCCTGGACAGCGGAAAGTCAACAGCTCAGGTTGTCTCCCTCCTTGCAGTTTCCCTTCTTAGTCATAGGCCACCAGTGCAGTTATCCCTGCAGCCCTTGCTGACCAAGGCTGATCTTCAGGTCAATTCTCAGGTCCTAATACCACTTGTAAATATTCAGGCTGTTGGTCTCGTCAGAATAGCTGACAGTCTGCAGTCTGACCATCTCTGTACTCCTGTTTTCGTTCAGGTTTCTCCACTAGTTGGTGCCTAATCCACTTCTGTATAGTTCCTTTCAAAGCTCAGGGCTCCAGGATTATCTTCTGTATCTCTGTCAATTGTTTTTTCTTTTCTTTGTTGAAGA